GACTGTATACAAACAATCACAGATTTTTTAAACGTGAAAAACATCTACTTCGTAGACCGACGCGATTCCGAAGTTGATCTGTTCCTCACCAGAGCGATAATATTTATTTACATCGATCAAGAAGCCGACAATACTCTTAAATAAACTCTTTCATTCTATTTTTACGTCTTGAAGATCTTCACAAGACTATTTTAAGTCTTGACAGAGTGGTTATTTTTTATCCTCGGGTAACAGATGTTGAAGGAAGTTCTGAAGAAGTTGTAGCGCGCTTAAAAGTCCTCCCTGTTTGTTGCGCAGCACATATGCCTTTTGGTACATATCAACCAGCGCCAACAACCTGACAATGAGAAAACAACTTGTCATTGTTATAATCTACATTATAAAATAACTGAGATACTACTCGCGCTCTCATTGGTCGATAGGTGTGTTTAGATGAGAGTATGGAATCTCGGTTGTGACGTTTTAGATTCGCGCGTACTTTTGAGAAATATTCTATAAAAACAATCGATACATAGTCTCATCTAAACATTTGGGGGATAGGGAGAACTCTCGNTTGTGACGTTTTAGATTCGCGCGTACTTTTGAGAAATATTCTATAAAAACGATCGATACATAGTCTCATCTAAACATTTGGGGGATAGGGAGAACTCTCGAAAGTTATGCACACCCTCGAACCCCCCTCGTGTTTAGATGATGCTATGTAAACAAGGAAAAAGTGCTCTACTGCTTAATAACAGCACAACAGACAATCTGTCATCTATAGATCTTGTGACGAGGAGAAAAATATCTGCAACCTGAACAACGACCAAACAACTTTAACACAGAGCATGACACTGATGGCTAGTCACGAAATCTTGTCACCTGAAAAACGTGACAAAATCAACCCACCAAGCCCCCTTCCCACGAGCCAAAATAGCTTTGCCACTCCCTCCCCTCCTCCCGCTGTGATACTCGATGCTGCCTCATCACACGAAAAGAAGAGGAAAAATAACAACAACAGCAGTAGCAACAACAACAACAAAATAACTCAACAGTGCACGACTGAATTATTCCTTAAAACTTACTTGTTTGCAAGGTCCGTTTTGCTGATAGCCGGTAAATCTTCAAGGGAACCACTCGAGCTCTGTTTTCGGTTTAAAAGCA